AAATAGGATACGACTGTCGTAAATGTCCTTCAGGTGGTATGCGTGTTGGTGGTAATCCAGCTCCTGGTGCAAGTTCGTCGAATGTACCCAACTATCAAGGATACACCTAGTCTTTTGTTTTCGTACTGTTTTTTGGAATACGTGTCTATGCTTGTGTATGTTGTAATATCTATCAAATAAAATTATGTTCCACAATCTTGTTACATCTTATTTTTTAACATGACCTTTTGAATTGGTATACTGATATAGTTGTTCAAATATTCAACTTATTGGTGTTAGTAAAGAAGACCAATCTAAAAATTAAAAAAAAAACTATAAAATCAAGACATCCTTTATTATCCTTCTTAAAATTTAATATGTAAAGCGTGATATAATACTACATTTTGTGAGTTGTCTTGACGTTCTGAAGAAACTAAAAACCATGTGAAAAAACTGTTTCATTTCACAAAAAATTTAATATGTAAAGTATGGTATAATACTATATTTTGTGAGTTGTCTTGTCATTCTGAAAAAAGCTGAAACGACTGCAGAAAAAAGTTGTTTTGTTTCAGAAAAAGTGTGTATGTAAAGCGTGGTATAATACTACGTTTTGTGAGTTGTCTTGTCATTCTGAGAAAAGCTGAAACGACTCCATAAAAGCTGTTTTGTTTTGGAAAAAGTGTGTATGTAAAGCGTGGTATAATACTACGTTTTATGTGAAATCTTGCCTATAAATAACGTGCACATTCTAGTTATTTTATGTGCTTAACAATAACCAATAGCAAATATTTTCATAAAACCAAAGTTTCTCTTTAACAAATGTCTCAACAAATCCTTTATGTCCCAAGGTGCGACTGCGGGAAAAAATGCATGATGCACGATTGTTGGGAAGAAACTGGACGCCACTAATAGGCATGTATGAACAAGTTTTATAGGCAACCCGATGAGCCTACATGCAATTTTGAGGCATGGATTGATGAATCCTGTCAGCATTAATACTACAAAGACCTGTTGTATTTTTTTTATAATTTGTGTACGAGGTACCGGGAAAGAGAGCGCCAATCCAAGCAAGAAGTTGAGGAATTAAAGGTGAAACTCAAGGAGGTGGAAGAAGAAAAAAAAAAGCTGGAAGACCAACTCAAGAGAAACCTCGTTATAAGCACGCGCGGCCAGCGGCCAGCCTGTTTTAATGGTTGGTCAGCCTCCCCCCTCCAATGCAACACCCTATACTGCCCCAAACACAAATACCCAGCCATTAGATTACTCCAAAATCCTGAAACCATGCACAATAAATGCTGCCATGCAAGAACGTAAAGCTTCTATTGATCCTGTTCCATTGAGACGAGCAGCAATTCTCAATGGGCAACCTATAGTAGTGTTTATTGAGACAGAAGTTGAACGAATGAATGTCATTAAGGGACTTCAATACGCAGGGGTTGGAAAATTTGCTTATGGATGGCCAGATCTTAATGAAATCCAACGTATTATTCCTGCGCAATGTGGGATTAAAGGAGAGTGTAGTATTGTATTCTTATGAAATAGGTATGTTCTTATTAGATTGACCTTGTGGCAAGACTTTGTTGATTTTTCATCTAAATGAGTGTATTATGTTACTGACAAAGCAGGTAATGAATATCAATTGCGACCTCTCACATATGATGCTAAGTTTAAAGCCGGGGAGGAAACTCTTATGGCTATGGCATAGATATCATTTCAGGTTTGTTGCCTACCTAATTTGTTAAGGAGTGCTTATTCTCACTTGCTTCAGCTGTGGGAAAACCATTACACTTAGATATGGCGACAATAAATAAGACTCGTCCAAGTTGTGCTCGAGTTAAGGTCTTGGTTGATTTATTAGTTGACCTTCCAAAGAAGGTGAGAATGGACATTGTGAATGAGGAAACTGGTGATATAAGGACAGAATGGGACAACATCAAATATGACATGATGCCTAATTATTGCAAGCAATGTAAATTACAAGGCCATGAGGAGATTGAGTGCTGGTGTTTGCATCCAGAATTGATGGTTAATGAACAGAACAAACAGGCTGCAACGGTGAAAAGGAACAATAAGGAGCAGACTAATCAGCCTCTAATGATTCTTTCAAGTGGGAAGGTTGTTGGGAATGTTAATGGAACTGGTGAACAATGGAAGGATGTTATGGATAATTGTGTGAAGAATGTTGATAAGAAGATGGATGCTTCAGCTTAGAAGGGTAAATAAATTGTCCCAACAGGTAATACCAATGTGCAATAGGTGCAAGATGAAAAGAAGGTGCAAGTTTCCAACAAATTTGCAGCTTTGGAGGCTTTTGAGGAAAGGAATGAGCAAAATCAGTTGGCTATTGTTGAGGCTGCTCAAGAAGTGACTCAAGTGGAAAACATCTCTGTTGATAAGGAAAAGAATCGAGGTTCAGGTAGTAGAAGTCCCAAAAAAGCATCACCTACTGGAAATAAGAAAAATCCTTTAGCCCCAAACTTTAATCCATTCTTAAAAAGGAGTGAAGCAGCAAAGCAAGGGGTATCTAATACTCTAACTGGAAGAATGAGTGGTGAACAATTGAATGTGGAGACTACCTCACTATGGGTACAAAGAGCTTTTGTTAGCAATGTTGTAGCTACTAATACATTTTATCAGGAGATTCCATCTCAAGTCACAAGGGTTGATAACAATTTAGCAAAGAAGCAGAAAAAAGAAGCACATGCAGAATTAGATGCAAGTGATGATTTGTTTACATCAACAGAAAAGATCTAGTGGACTGGTGGTAGATTATGGGAGGATCAAATTGAAGAGGATTCAGAAGAAGGAGACATTCCAGATGGTATGCAAGCTGAAAGAGATTCAGATGTTGACATTGAAGAAGAGGAGGAAAGTGTATATGGTGAGGCAAATATTAACAAAGAGGAGGAGCCGATCAACAAAGTTTAGGAGGATCCAAAGACTACTGATGAGAACAAAGAAGGAAGGGGTGATGCAGATAATACTAATAATGAGACAGGAATCCCTATTGCTGAAACAGGGGACCCTAGTACTGTTCTAGTTAATCGTAAATACGTTAATGTGAACATGGGAGATCCGGGTGGAACTGGGAAGTCTACTGTAATACGTGAAGTGACCAACATGAATACAAGAGAGAGTTCCAGATCTGGAAATAAGCAGAAGGTCAAGGACCAAGTCAATGTGGAGATGATCAACTTTGCCCCATTGGATAACAGTCAAATTAGGCAGCAACAGGCTGGGGAAAAAGCTATATTCTCTACTGTGCAGTATAGAGAACTTGACACAGATGTCATACAAGATAAAGGAGCAGGTGAACACATAGAAGAGCAGGCAAGGACTTTGATGAAGAGTCCACTGCTCAAAACTTCAGAAACATAGCAAGACAAGGTGACTTATCTCCTAGGCACATGGACAAAGCAAAATCTGCAACAAAAGGGAGGAAGAAGACTATGAAGGATCCAGTAAAGGAATCATCTATTGTTTCTGTAACTGGAGAACAAACAAGGAGGACATTCACAAAATCAAATAACCTGCAATGGATGGTCTAATATGGAATATAAGGTTTGTGAAAACCATGCAGGCGTTTGAGAGGCTCATTACAATGCATAAACAACATCACTTTGAGTTCATTTTGTACTCATGGAACCTAAACAACAAGCTATGAAGTGGAGAGGTATAGAAGAAGAATTGGATTGGCTCAGGCGATTGCAAATGTCTCCAATAAAATATGGGTGTTCATTGATGAGGCATTTGAAGTTGATATTCTATATGACATGGTGCAACAGCTAACATTAAAATTATTTCACACTAAATCTCGTGTGGAATTTATATTGACACTGGTATATACAAAATGTGACTCTATAGAGAGGATTGAGTTGTGGGATTCATTGTATAATTTGGCAAGAGATATGTCAGTTCCATGGCTTGTTGGGGGGGGGACTTCAATGTAATATGGGATGAAGAGGAGAAATTTGGGGGACTGCCNGGGGGGGGGGGGGGGACTTCAATGTAATATAGGATGAAGAGGAGAAATTTGGGGGACTACCAGTTTCATTGAATGAGATTGATGACTTTAGGCATTGCATAAACACCTACAACCTCTCAGATTTGGGCTTCAAAGGGAGTATATTCATATGGTGGAATGGGAGAGCAGATGAAGAATGTATTTTTAAGAGACTTGATCGTTGCTTGGATAATACGGAATTTCAGCAAATATTTCCTGGATTGGAGGTTACTCATCTTTCAAAAATAGGATCAGACCACTGCCCATTGCTTTTAAAATGTGATATTAAAGCAGCACCAGTAAGGAAAACCTTCATATTTCTAAACTTTTGGATCAAGCATGAGTCCGTTAAAGAAGTGGTGAAAGAAAATTGGCATGCTGATTTTTATGTCAATCTATTTATACTTTTCAATTATAAATTGAAGTAACTGAATAAAGCATTATTGGTGTGGAGCAAGCAACATATGGGGATATATTCCAAAAGATAGCAAGCTTAGAGGAGGTTGTTTTGGTTCATGAAGCTCAATTTGAGGTTGTCCCTTCTCAAGACAATAGAGAGAGGTTACAAAAGGTGCAGGCAGACATGATTAAATATGTTGCTATAGAAGAGGAGTTTTGGAAGCAAAAATCTGGAATGCAATGGTTCAAGGATGGAGATAGGAACACAAAATTCTTTCATGTACATGTCAATGGTCGAAGGAAAAGGCTTCAACTTAAAAGAATTCAAGACAGTACTGGTATATGGCTAGAACAAGAGGAGGAAATTGCAAAAGAGGCAGTGAAATCTTTCAAGGATCAATTTACTAAAAATACTATTCCTTTAGATTTTCGTATACTTGATCATATTCCTACATTGATAGATGGGGAGCAAAATGCAGAACTGTTGAAGCAGCCAAATAAAGAGGAGGTCAAGCAAGCAGTATTTGGTTTAAATGGTGAGAGTGCATGAGGTCCTGATGGATTTACGGGCAGTTTCTATCATGCTTGTTGGGATATCATTGGAGATGACATCATTGGTATGGTCAGAGCTTTCTTTAATGGACAAGAATTGCCCAAATATGTTACTCACACTAATCTTGTCCTACTGCCTAAGAAGAATGAGGTGACAACTTTTTCAGATTTGAGGCCCATAATCCTTAGTAACTTCACCAACAAAATCATCTCAAAAGTGATTCATGAGAGGTTAGTAGGTTTTCTGCTCAATATCATATCGGAGGAACAAGCTAGATTTGTTAAGGGGAGGAGCATAGTTGAAAATGTCTTGTTAACTCAAGAAATTATAACTGACATAAGATTGAGAACAAAGGCAGGCCCTAATGTAGTTATTGAACTAGACATGACCAAGGTATATGACAGGCTTTCATGGTTGTTTTTGACTAAGGTGCTAAGGAAGATGGGGTTTGGAGAGAGATTCATAGGGTTGGTGTTTGGGATTGTGTCAAACAACTGGTATTCAGTGGTAGTAAATGGACAACCCTGTGGTTTCTTCAAATCATCCCGAGGGGTGAAGCAAGGAGATCCCTTATCTCCTACACTTTTCATCTTGGCTGCTGAAGCTTTATCTAGAGGTTTGAGTGCTCTACATTTGAATCTTTATTTTCCTGTATGGAATGCCTAAGTGGAGTCCTAAAATCAACCATTTGGTATATGCAGATGATACTATTATTTTCTCTTCATCAGATGCTACCTCCCTTAAATTAGTAATGGAAGTTTTGACTGCATATGAGGAAGCTTCTGGTCAGTTGGTGAACAAAAGCAAATCTGCCCTTTATATGCATCATTCGGCTGATGTGGAGGTTGTCACAAAGGTTGAAAGAATCACTAGAATTGGAAGAAAAGAGTTTCATTTCACTTATCTTGGGTTTCCTATTTTCTATGCTAGGAGGAAGATGGATTATTATCAAGATTTGATCACTAAGGTTATGGATAAATTGCAAGCATGGAAAGGGAAATTGTTATCAATTGGTGGCAGGTCAATCTTGATTTCTCATGTTCTCCAAAGTATGTCAATTCACTTGCTTCTGCAGTGAATCCTCCACATTATGTCATTAAGAAGATTCACAAAATATTTACACAATTCTTTTGGAGTAGTACCATAGGAGGCAATAGTAGACATTGGGATTCATGGAATAATTTGTGTATGTCTTGTGATGAAGGGGGTATTGGGTTTAGATCACTGCAGGATGTATCAAGGGCTCTAGTTTGTAAGTTGTGGTGGAATTTTAGAACAAAGCCAAGTTTATGGAGTTCTTTTATGTTCCAAAAGTATTGCAAAAAGCTAAATTCTATAATTGTGCCTTGGAGGAGGGGATCTCATACTTGGAGGAAAATGTTGGAGTGTAGGGATGCTATTGAGCATCAAATTACATGGCAACTGAAGATGGGCTCTTCTTTTTTTGGTTTGATAATTGGACAGGACTAGGGGCTTTATATTTCTTAGTTCCTCCAAATTTTTTGATTGATGAAACAATTCACAATGTGTATGAAGTGATGGAGAAGGTGGATGGAATGTTGAGAAAAGTATGGAGATTCTTCCTGAGGAGTTTGTTGTGCACATTCTGGAGAAAATTAAGCCTCCAATTATGGAGAACACTTTGGATGTACCATACTGGATGCTCAAGACTCGTGGTAATTTTAGTGTAAAGTCTGTGTGGGAGTATTTAAGGAGGAGAAATGATCCAACACTTGCATACAAAGTGATATGGGTAAAGGGATTACCTTTCAAGATCGCATTCTTCATGTGGAAAGTGTGGAAAAATAAACTTCCTCTTGATGATTTCATGAGGCGATTGGGATATTGTATGCCCTCAAAATGTTGGTATTGTATTGAGCCAAAAGAAGAATCTTTGATACATTTATTCTTCACATCACATGCCGCCAAGATAGTATGGAAATATTTCCTATCTAGACAAGGGATACGACTGGAGGGTTTGACATTGCATCAGGCGATCACTAGTTGTTGGACAGTTCAGGTGCTGCCCAGAATTAAGCCCATAATGCAAGCCCTTCCTTCTTGCATTATATGGGAACTGTGGAAAAGGAGAAACAATTTTAAATATGGGGAAGCAGTCTTAATCAGTAGGGTTATTTACCAGGTATCCTCTTCTCTTCAAGCTATTGTAAGAGTAAGGAAGCCATGCCTTATTAATGTTCCTCATAAGTGGAAAGATCTGTTAACAATGCTGGAAAACTATACTCCTAGGATGAAGTATGACAAGGTCATTTGGGAGTTGCCTATGGTAGGTTGGGTGAAGGTAAATACTGATGGTGCCTCGAGGGGGAATCCGGGGAGGAGCTCAATTGGTTTGTGTATAAGAAATGATGATGGAGATTTAGTATATGTTCTTGGAAGGGAGATCAATGCTGCAACAAATACAAAAGCTGAAATAGTAGCAATTTTGGAGGCTTTAAGGATTTGTAGTGCTCACAATTACATGCAAGTATGGCTTCAAACAGACTCTTTGCTCTTGAAGAATATAGTTGAAGTCTTGTTGTATTGTGGAACAAGTGGAGGAGATTTGACAGCTCTTGGGTAGGGGTAATTTCAAGGTCTCACATATTTTCAGGGAAGGGAACAAACTGGCGGATCATCTTGCAAACTATGCATTGGATGTAGGAGAGATTGAATGTCATGGTTATTGGCATTTAGATTCAATTGGGAGAAGAATAGTTAATGAAGACAAACTCCAATGTCCTTATTTGAGGGTGGAAGTAGCAAGGAAGTAAGGTGTAAGGTGGCAAGGTGCGAGGAGTACATGGTGAGACTGGTTTTAGCTAACAAATTTCTCTTTTTTGCAGGTAATTTTTCAGCACCTAAAGCTTGTCTTTCGATGGAATTTCAAATGGTGTTATTAGTGCTTTGCACTCAACCCATTGAAAGGACAACAAAGGCAAGCATAGATATTGATGCAAAGAAGGGCAATCTACTGCACAGTTTAAGCAACAGCAGAAATTTTTTGAAAAAAAAAAATAGAAGCAGAGGTGGATATCATGCCCAGAATGTTTAAGTGAAATGGGAAAGGTGGGTTGCAATCTGCAGGAAGTAGGAGCAGGCAAGATAGGAAACATGTTACATTAGATAGAGGAGGTTCTAAGAAAGAAAGAAAAGCAAAAATGCCCAGAAAACATAAGAGAATTGGGCATTATGGACTGATGGCAAGAATACAATGGAGGGGCTCAAAGGTAGGAAAAGTTAGTAGGAAGCTGCTCAAAATGTATAATTGAATTGGGCAGCATGGTATAGGGGATACAGGGAACCAGGCAAGGAATATAACAGCCTTATCATTTGGTACTGCAATGAGAACTAACGGATAAGCAAGTGCAAAGGAAGAGGAAACAAGGCTGATTGAGAAGATAGATCATTAATTACAAATCCAGATGGGAGAGAGTTGGAGACTGGTTTTTATTCTAACGATGTTTGATTTTTTGCAGGAGCCATTACTGTTATTATGCCATACTTTTGAGGAACTTCCAGTTGGTGGTATTAGCACATAGTGCTCATTCTAATGGAAGGGAATCAAATGTATGCATAAGCATAGAAGCAAGGATATGTTTCAAAGTTGTGAAACATAGCAGCTACTTTATATAGCTACAAGTGATGGTCACGCAAATTGGCAGATGCAAAATAAAACTACACAGAGGACTCAGTCATATATGCAGGTCAAGTTGGCCCCTTTGGATAGAAATAACTGGAGAGAAAAATGCATTTAGAACTCAGTACCCAATGTATTTCTCATCAACGATACTCCATAAGGGATGCCACCCAAAGAGAAACTCAAATTCATGCTGGAAATCACACGCAATTGTCATCAAAGGAGGCAAATTCACATATGCCTCAATCAATTGGAGCAGCATGCTAAATGGAGCTGTGTGGGACATCTTTCCTTTACAATATGAAGGTATAGTGCTGACCATTAGGCACCAGGAGTAACAACTGAAGCAATGTGATGAGGTTGATCAAAAGCTTAGCATGCATAACTGGAGGTTAGGGCAACAATGGAAAAATAAGGCAATGAGATTGGCATTTAAATAGGCAAGGACAACACCTATGGAGTCGACATATTGGTGCAACATTGTCATGGATCATTCACTGAAAACTGGGCAGTGCAAGGATGTCACGACCCAAACCGATGGGCTGCGATGAGCACCCGGTACCTTACTCAACCGAGTACCAACATAACGTATATTTCTTATTACATCATCATATACACATGACATATGGGCCTAATAGGCCAACATGATCCTTTATAAACTCAAAACATAGGCCGACAAGGCCGTGCAATCTTTCACGTACAAGACATATGTCTACAAGCTTCTAAGAATACATAAATGTCATAAAGGTCGGGAAAGATTCCCTCCATACCAAATAATACATGTCTAAATCATACTAACCAAACGAGCAACTCCAAAGCAAATGGAGCGCACCAACATCTTCCAGTGAGCTGATAGCCTACTTAGAGGGATCTCGACCTGTCTATCGGGACCTGCGGGCATGAAACGCAGCGTCCCCAGGCAAAAAGGGACATTAGTACGAATAATGTATCAAGTATGTAAGGCACATAAATAAATACATAAGAGACATGGAAGACATATAGAGTACATGACTCAACCTGTAAGTCTGAATAACTCTGTAAATCATGAAATACTTTTAGCATCATGCATATGCGTATGAATGTCATATTGTGCATAGGTACATGTCTCGTAACATCATCAGCCTCTGAGGGCATCCTATCATATCATACGGTAACTATGGGCAAAATCATCAACGTATACTAGCTGATCAGGTAGTGGTGCGTATATAATGTCATAACCTTTCCCATATCCCATATACATATATATACATACATATGTGTATATAATGCTGTTTGAATACATACATATATATGCGTATATAACGCCGTTTGAATCATATTTCAGCCACTATGGGCAACATCATCATCATATACCAACTGATCAGGTGGTTGTGCGTATATAACGCCGTAACCTTTTCCCATATCCCTTATACATATATTTATATATATACGCGTATATAACGCCATCTGGTCATGGGTTAATCCACATGAATGCAATACATGAAAAGTACGTTAAAAAAAATCTTTCGGAGCTTCATAAGTCCATTTAGCCTTTGAGTAATATAATAAAGTAAACTCTTTTCAACTTTCATATTTTTCTGAGACCCATGAACAAATGATAAAATATTATGACACACAAAAATTCAAGAACATAGATATATCTTATACTTCTATGAATAGAGTCATTCATGGAATTTGTGCATTTGCACGTTTCGTTCGTATCGTATAGATCATGCCACAAGTAAGAAAGGATAGCCTTAACATACATGTTTCTGCGAAATTCTTGAACGAAACCTATGCTTGAAGCTTGGATTGAAATTTGGATTGAAATTTCAATCGAAATTTTTGAAGTGCTGACAGAATTGATTCTCTTGTTCAAGACAGCATGCAATTGTTTGGTTTCACATTTTGGCTTTGAAATTGGTTTCACATTTTGGATTTGAAATTTTGAAAAATCTGATTCTTAAGTTTTTAGTTCCTTAAGAATCTCACTCACGTTTATTTTTGTTTGGTTTCTAAAGATAAAAGGTCTTTTTGAAACTTTAAGAATCAGATTTTGGTTTTTGTTCTTTCATGTTCCTTATGAGTCATTAAATAACTTTATGTTACATTGTCACATAATGAAATGACTTGAAGATTCATTCTTTTAATGTGTGGCATGTTGCCACGTTACTCTTTAGGATAATTGATTAAATTTATCCACTTATTAGTTAACCGGGTAATGTTTCGTTACCCGGTAATTAATCTATTACCCGCATAATTGAGAATTATTTCCATTTACTTAAAATACTATTCACTTTTCACATACCTTATACACCTTATTATTATGGTCATGTGGTACCTCGTATGACACTAGTTCATAAATACCGAGTATTTTAGCTCAGGCCGTATTTTATTCCAACATGCCAAACTTGGACGAAAAATCGTTTTCTTTGACTTGCTTCCCCTCTCACCTTCACAAATTTACTTATCACTTATTTGAAATAGTATAATACTTAAAATATCAAAATAATCCCATCCCCGAACTTATGCCGATTAACTTACGACGAAACTTTAACATACGAAAACGTGGAATGTAACATCATTCCCCCTTTGGAACATTCGTCCTCGAATATTTACTGGTGCTCTTATCATTTTCATAGCCTATGTCTTCCGAATACTTTAGTAGTCCTCTTGCCATCTAGGCAACGGTTATGCGAATAAGTCCAAAGTCTAGGGTATTCTCCTCTTTTAGACCTCTTTCCTACGCCATGACTTGTGTTTGAATTCCTTCCAATCTCGTAACTGTTGCTACCTTACATTATGCAGTTTCTATGACACTGACCGTGTAAGTGTGCCTATGCGAGTCTCTTCTCTTTTTTCCTCTAGCTTTTAGTCAATCCTGGAGTTCTTCGCTTGGTATTTTGTTGAACTTACGAATACTGCTATATCTTATTTTATAGACCCGGTTATCCATTCGTATGACTTTACTGCATCTACATAGGTCATACTATACCATAACAATTACCTCAATTTCTCGTTACTGAGGTCTGCTACAAAATCTCAGGTTACTTTCATTGCTCATCTCGTACGTATAAATATATGTCCTCTAATGCCTCCACATTATTGTTCATCTTTAAGAATGACAACCTAATCTCCTCTCATACTTTGTAAATTTTATCCATCCATTGTTGATTCACTTCAATTTTGATCCATAATCCACCCCTGATAACTTAACCTTTTTGTAATATTGCAGTTAGGATTCACGTTTTATCAGGGAACATCTGAAATGATTAGATTGATCCACTTGAGGCGATACCCTGCTTTTATAACCGTATCTCACGACATCCCAATATGATTCACCTTGCGTGGGTATTTTAATCCTGTCCAATTCATGAGATCCCTTTCTTTTATCCGTCAGATCATTGCTTAATTGAAGGCCCAAACGTCATTTTTTTGTATATAATAATTACCCCTCATTCTATTTACAGGGTAGCATTTCATTTCTTCTGAATGTTATTAGTCTTAGACTCTTTTGAGTTTATTCAGGCTATACTGAACTTTCTATAATTTAGAGAAACCATTAGCTCTCTTGTTTTCATGGACTTAATCTTGAGGACTTATCCATTCTCGTCACTTTTTCACTTGTCTTTCCTCATTCTTACTCATGTTTTCTCAAAACTGTGTCACTCTACCATACTTTAGCTTGCGACCTATAAATATCCATTTATAATACTCGCAACTTTCCTTCAACTTGCTTACACCATATATTTCCTTATATTATTCTGGAATGTCAATCGATACATCACACCGTCTCCAACTCTTCTTTATTCTCTTAACTAGATCTCTCAGTACTTAGAAACCATAGGTTGGAAGACATGCCGCTGACGATGCCATTATCATTCCCGGTTACTGGATCCCCGTGCTGATAGCCTTCTATCCGAAGTATGGACTATTCACGATCTTCTGCCTTTGAGTATCTCGTA